AAAATATTTTCTTTCCCTTTTGTTTCTGATACTTACTGCATTTAAATAAAATTTTAAGGTCGTGCTGGCCTAGAGGTTAAAAGGCCAGCCTCTCGTATATGAGGGCGCGGGTTCGAAACCTTGCCGACAGCAATGTAATTTTTCCGAGTCATATGTACTTTTACCTAATAGTATTTAGACGCCACTGACAGACGATGAAGGAAAACATCATGAGGTAACCTGGACTAATAATTTCAAATTGTAAGTTTGAAATCGCCAACACTTCTCGAGCAAGGGTGGTTATTTATGCTCAAAAATACTCCATGCGAGCAGTGGCCTTCGCTCAGCAGTGAGCTCTGATAGGATGATGATAATGATGAAATATAATTTCAATAAGAATAACAGTTTGTTCATGAACAGAAGGTTTTGAATTGCATAACGTAGTAGAACTAAGCATATAACATAAGTAGGATACAAATTATTATTTGATTGATGCAATATGGAGTAAAACTGTGATTACAGAATTTCTCATTACTAATTTGGCTATGGTGTTCTTAACCCTACTGCATTAGGCCATTTTTTAAATTAAAATATAAACATTTAAACTCAAGTTTATCAAATATTTTGTTTTTAGTACTAAGACAATTCAGTAATGATTCCTGCTCGCATGTGAATGAGCATTAATACAAACGAGAAACCGCGATTCCCTAAGGACTCTTTCCATATGACTACAGAACTTTATACGAAGATTTAAATAGTAATTATTGTTTAAGATAGAATCAAATGATTATAAATTATTTGTTACCAATAATACCTAGTTATTGTCTTTTACTAACTAAATAAAGAGGATAAAAACCTTTCAAAATAAGTGTAGAACAAAAATTAGAATCATTTCGAGAAATCTTAATTTTCCAATACATATACATATTTATAGCACAGTAACGGAGGTGGAGTTTTATTAAAAAAACAAAACAGTTTATTACAATGGAAAACATTGTAGAATTGTTACACCTTTAAAATATCTTTTACGCAAAGAAAGGTTTGTGTATTGTACATTTCGTAACAGATTCAACGTTGTGTGATTTCAGGGATAGAGATATTAATTTAAATAAACATTATTTATTTATAAGAAAACCACTTAATAAATACCCAAAACCATCCATTATTGACTGATACTACATTTATACATTGCAAATGTATCCAATAAAACTTATGTTGTAATATCATAATCTAGTTCTTAATTCGACCCGAGCTATTTCATACAACTTAAACCTAGGTCTTCTTTCAAAGATATTATTACCTAACAATGGAACAGAAGAAGCATTGTTTATGAAGTATAAAATATAGTAGTACAAAGCTTTAAATGGCAACTATCAAGTAAAATATTTTTATAATATTTTCATAATAATATTTTAGGTACAACAGTAACGTTAAAGCTATTTTTAGTTTCATTTGCTTTTATTAAATAAACACGGTCGTATTTTATCTCTGATGCTGAATATTATAAAATATACCTTTATAAATTTCAGAGACATCATTTTTCATTGCAAGCTTATGCTTTCATTTAGAAAGAAAAGTTTAAGAATAGATTGTAATCTTTTAAAGCAAAAACAAATTAAAAGATGACGGGTTGGAACAATTTATAGCTTGCGGAATCTGGTAAATTAACTTAGTAGGTACTAAGCGATTTGTAAACAGGGGCAGTGCTTAAAATATAATTACAAGTCTGCATTTACCGAGCGCTCTTTCCATTGTTTTATTTTAATTGCCTTCTACACGTTGGTTTTAACGTTTAAAAAAGGGCATATTTTACGTTGAAAAGGTCGGTTAGAATAAATATGGTCAAATTAATTTATTTTTTAAGCATCTTCATAAAATTATGTGGTTTATCAATTAAAAAATATCCTGGTATTATTAATTATATGAATTCTCCTATAACTCTGTCTTATTAAGCAAAATATTTTTTTCCTCAGGAAGATGTATTACGATTGTTAGTGTATATACATATATTACATAGTAAGTTAACATCGTAGAAAAATCAAGAAGAACCTTCATAAAACAATATTCTTTATTGTTTATTTCGTGGAAACGAAGTTTTAGGTGCTGAATTCACTCTCAGTAACAACTTATTCACCCTTCTCTTTTTACATTCAATTTTTTGCGATTTGTATGAGAAAGCAGCTGAAGCAAGCTGAAGGAGGAAGGTCAAAACAAAAGAAAAATTAAGAAATCAATTTTTTGAAATAGAAGTCAATGATATTTAAATATTATTATCAATTCATTTATTCTAAATATTCGTATATAGATATTTCATTCAAAATTACGATAGATTATTTGAGCTTATAAATTTAACAGAAATCACAAAATCTGCTAGCAAAACAAGAATAATGATGAAGAATAAAAATAATAGACTTTGATGAAACAATATATTTTGAACATTGATAATAATTTTGCTACTAATATTAATACGGATTACTTCAAGTGTAGGAAAATTTGGTAATGTTATGTTGATATTACCTAGTTATTGTATTACTCATCATCGATTTTTCATTTATAAAGTAATTATTTATCCATGTCTGCTTTACTAGATAAAATTTCCTTTAACATAGTAATAAGTAATTTTAATTTAAAACATTTTAGTTTTTCTTTTTAATTAATTGTTTTTGTGTAAAATAGTTTTTCTATATGAAAATGAGATTGTATAAACCTTATTGACTAATATTCGTTTATGTGCTTTTAGGATATTAAATGGAATACTCATTACTCATATAACCAACGTATTTACTATGTTAAAAATATTCATTTATACAGACAGATAAATGGGAAAATGGGCAATTTTATATTCTGATAAATAAATTAAGCACATCCACATATTTGCATTACAAAGCGCCGCCGATAGGGATGAGCAATAAATAAAGAGATATAAGTATTGCATACATTTTTCGGTAACAAAATTGTACGCATATGGTATTTCAATACATTAGAACAGTAATACTGATAAGAAACTTACTAAATGATGTATATACATATAAACCAATATACATTTTAATGGCTAATAATTACCAGATACTCTTTTTTCTTATAAAATAATATAGAATACTAATAAACCAATTTATTATTATAATAAAATACTAATATAATCTAAATTGATCTTTATAATAAATTGATTATCTTTCAATATATTGATATTATAAATTCAAGATAAAAAGTTAAAAAAAATGGCATCAACTCTATTAGGACATCAGAAGGCGTTTTACACTTTGTCTATAATGTTCAAAATGTATTTAAATCAATTGTATTCTTAGAAATACGTAATCCAAATTGAAACAAATACATTTTACAAAATACACACGAACGCACCCTAATCTGGAAATCGAAATAAGAATATTTTTGTGGATCTATATTTAATTGTTGTTACTGTTTAAATAACATGACATGCCCATTGCATAATTATGATAATAGTACAGATGCTGCGAGCGAATATTATTAATTCATTCAGATTTTTTAAACTTATCTTCCGATATTTTAATTATAATTGATGTTTCTTGACTGGTTTGGTTTGATCACATCATCCTTCTTTTCAAATCTTTCCTAGTATTGCTTCAATTCCTAGTATAATATATGAAATGGTTTTCATATACCAAGAATTATTCACCAAAACATTTTACGGAAAAATTTTAAATTTTATTTAAGGGCGACGTAATCTTTTAAAGTTGGTTTATATTTTTTACTACTTTATACCTTTAATCTTAACAGTTAAAGTTTCTGCACTTCCTAGAAGATATTACCTTAAAACGATAGAAACAGATAATTCAATGAAAGTCGAACAAATTTATAAACACTTTATTGATACTTATTATGTACACCATGATTCGCTAGGTAGGTAATATACATACAATCTACAGGAAACAGAATACGATGGTTTTTTTTTCTACAATGTACATAACATTCCCTAAAACTAAATAACGCTTAGTTTAAAGAAATTTCATTGAGATGTTTTATTTTGCAATTGCATCAAAAAAAAGCGTGGAATTTAAAATTTTATTTAGTTCGATAATTACATTTTAACAAGCAGAATAAAAAATGCTGGTTACTATGTTATACATATTTTTACTTTTTATACCCTATCAACCTTAAAATAACTATAATTTACGTGAGCATATATTTACATTAATAAATTTACACGTTATTGATATGCTTTATATTATTATATATTTGTACATACTTTTAAGATGAAAATAAAGATATGTTAAGTAGACAAACACAAGTTATTACTTAGATCATGAGATAAAAGTAGGATTATTTTTCCAAAATGCTTCTAAAATCTCCACATGCTAGATAGTTTTTACTCATTGATATCAGATTTAATATTGTGGGCATGAAACTAGTATATTTTTCAAATAATAAAAAGTAAACCAAAAAAAGCCCCGTATAAAATCGCTCAATAAAGAAAATTTTATTTATTCACATTGAATGAAATGAAATTCGTATTTGTATAGACTCTTCAAACTATTGAGCTAATGGTGAACGTCCACTTTAACTACAAACTGGCTCGAATTTTAGAAAGCATCGTTGCATAGATGTCATTTTTATGATCTTTTTATTTTAAATAACACAAGAGCCAGCCGACGCTTCGTCTATAGAATGGCCGTTTGATTTTGATACTTTTACGTTACTTCGAATTTGAATGAGAAATTCGGGAACGTCAATTCTAATTTCGTATTTCTAATCCCTTTTTTAAATATCAGACATTCTGTTTTTCTTTTCTTTTATTGGATCTCCATCACCTTCTCATTTGGAAGGTAAGCAGAATATTTTCCTACTTTGATACTCTTGCATCAGCAGTATTTTTTATCCCTGGATTTGTATCTAGACGTTCTTATAGTTTGAAATACCATAAAAATTTTCATTCTTTGATTTTATAATGTCATTTACTAGTGATGTTTATTTTGCGTTAATTTACAAAACATTATTTCAAAAATTCACATTAAATTGACACGCAGCATTAATGGACAAACTTATCATCTTGCACCTTGAGCTATTAATATATAGTAACTAGCCATTACAATAGTAAGGAGCAATTTGAGATAACGAGTATTGCATAGCAAAATTTGTGGCAATGCTGAAATGACGGCAACTGTAGGGAACTCTGGCGCGTAATGGCGGTGGCTCGAAGACTCCACGGTCGGTAACCAGTTGTTGTCGAGGACAGATTGTTCTATTACATTTTGCATAGTATCTGTTATCCAAGATAATAGAAAATATTACATAACATTTCTGACATAATATTTAAAAACACAAGAATTATTCTTACCATATGTCGTAACATCTGGCGTATAAAATTTTTGTTCAGCTGGCTGTAATGGCACTACGATAGCTGTAACAAATGTAACAAAAATTGTAATCGTTCTTTTGTAAAAGTAATTTAAATTTATATAAACACTTCAAATTCAACTTTACAAAAATTGTATTTATATGATACATCAGAAATCGTTTTAACATTTAGCAGTATATATATTTAGAACATTTTACTATAAAGCTTGCCTAAAGCAATTAATTTTATGAATATTTGAATTTAAAGCAGTTCACCGTATAACCAAATAAAATATGCAAAATTGTTATAAAAGATAGTCAACAGTTAGCTGTATCCAATAATTGAGTTTGAATTTTTTTATTATTTGAAGAAATTTTTTCCCAAATATAATTAAATGGAGATTCAATTTAGTTGAAATTCATTCAGCATTTACGATAAAAGCGAATAGAAAGTAAAATATTGTATAATTTTTAATAACTTGGAATGCAATTATCTTTCATCATAAATATATCGTATCAATATTAATTCTTAGTACTTACGTGGAGGTGTTTCTGGCAACAATTCTGTTGTTGTCGGGATTGGTGTGGTGGTGGTGGTCGTAGTAGTAGTTGTAGTTGTTGTTGTTGTGGTGGTTGTTGTAGTTATCTTAATTTCTGGTTAATTAAATTATTTATCAATGACACTTTAATTAAGTAGTCTTTATTTGATTTTAATTTACGAGCAAAATCATAAAACAATTTTTATCACAAAATAAAATTATTTTTCGCGTAAACGATACTTGTGACTATTGTTGTTAGTAAAGAACTGATGCATCTTTATTACCGGTTACACTTTTATGACGTATACTATGAATTAATAACCAAAAAAGCTAGTTTGCCTAAATATTGTAAATGGTCCAATTGTACAATTTAAACCTGCACAATGTACATAGCACTGATTTAGCATAAATGAATCTTAAAGTTCTGTAAATAATGACAATAATATATCTCACTGCAATTTTTCACTCAAACATAAAAAGAAAAGTGGATGACTTACGAATGCTATTAAAATTTTAGTAGAAAATGTTATATTTACCATATAGTCTTAAAGTGCCCTCGGCCTTTCCTATTGTATTTGTTGCAACACATGTATAGGTTCCAATGTCATTGCTACTAAAGTCCGATATAGTTAATATTGTACGTACTTCATATGCTGAGAGCCGAACCTCGCGAATGTCATGTTTTTCACTGTAATTAATAAATATTATTTCTTAATTCTGTATTCATTTTCAAAATTATCTTGGAATAAAAAATCTATTATTATGAGTATAGGGATAATAATAAGGTTATAGATAATAAATGACTTTGGACACATACTTTTTTATAAGTCGTGTATCATACGTTTACGTTACATATAATATTTAAAATAAATGATGTAATATACCAAATAATCACATAATATTATATAAGAAAACCTTAAAGTGTATAGAATATAATCAGAATAAATAAGTAACCGCAGTATTATAAATATTTTTTTATTTTGAAATTATTACATTTGCAGAGAAATAAGTAATGAATAAAAAAACATTCGTATGCTTTTTGTATAACGATAAATAATAATGGATTTATTATCCCATTTGGGTTGTTTATTTGCAATGAAAGCGTGAGGTCTATAAATAATTGCAACGACGTACCAAATATCTTTTTTTTTTGCTGTGACAGGGTAGTGTTTTCTACAAACATTGTAAAGTCAATATATCAGTACTTTACATTCGAATTGTGATTGAAAACTGCCGAAATGTTTGCGATGAATCAGTGCAGTTACTGGTTACATCTGTTTTGTTTATTTGTTTTTATGGGTCGCTTATTCTATTTTCGTAATTAATTTTGAAAACATTTGAAAATGAAAGATTTTTGCAATCATATTTTATTTCCTAGACATATCTAACATATATAGTTTTCATTTTGAATTTCATAAATTCGACTTTCTATCGTACTATACATGTATATATGTGAGTGCAATAATCTATACATATATAATATATACGCACACAACAATAAACATGCAATTATTAACGTATTTCATTCATATTACACTAATTATTTCTAAAAATATATATAAATTGTAAAATGTCTAGTGACTTAACACAGCTACAAACTTACCCGGAAAGAATCATTTCTTCTCCACTTTTCAACCAGTAATTGATAGCGGGGGGATAGGCTTCAACAAGACACTGGAGCTCAGTTTGAGAGCCCGTTGGCACTCCAATAACTTTTGTAGCTATCAATATGGATGGGCCAACTAAAAACAAGTAATTATTTTCCAATTTTATTTCATATATAACAAGATATTTCAAAAGTATCCTAAAATTATTTTATAAGATTTCGGGTATTCAGTGTAACAAACATTTAAACAGCCATAAAAGTTTAACAAAATTAAAAATTTGCACTAATTTATTTTTCTTAAATGGAATAAATAAATACGTTTTGTTCAGTTAGCTTCTTAAAAACATTTTGTTTTAAATCAAAAATTTTAAAACAAAAACAACGCAATAACTATGATATGCAAGAATATTTTGCTGAAAAATCTGTAAGGAATAAAGTAGAGATCTTTTTATGGCGTTGTTATCGGTACGAGCTAAGGTCATAATGAAATGAGATTTGTTTTGATGGAAGCTTGATAAAATACACTATGTATACAATTTATAGCACAATTTGATAAAACTTGTTTGCTGACATTTCTTATGATAGCTCATTTAACGATATTCTTATTAATATATTCCACTTCATATCTTTGGCGTTGGACAAGATGAATTGCTATCAGTAGCTACGGGTGTGTCAGGTCATTTACAATACAGCGTATCATAGTTTCTTATAGCAGCTCCGATATTATTGTATAGGGCTGCTTTATTTTACTTTTTTTATATATTTTTAGGAGTTTTTATTTATTTATGTAAAAATAGTAATCGTTTGATGGTGATGGATAAAAATCCAATTAAAGATTTATTACTTGAAAAATTCGATTTGTCTAAATGAATAGAATAGAAAATTTACATTTAAATTTTAATTTTCAGACTTTCGAGTGTACTCATTTAATTAATGCTGTCTTTTCGGATAAACACACTTTTTTATTATTTCATTTCTACACTTTCATCTCGTCTGCCCTTGATCAAGGCTGCTGAAAAGTAATCGAAACATCGTGAACTGATCCAAATAAAATAATAAAAATGCTTAGTTAATTAAATTTACTTTCTTTTTATTATTTGATATTTCATTTCAACTCAACACTAATATGGTTTCACACTCTCATCATAGTACTGTTTAAGGTGAATGAACTAAGTCTAGGGCAAACAAGGGTTATCTGTTTATTACAGAAGTGTGAGCTATTATACATTATAATACACATTACTTGTTTGATAAGTTGTTTTTGATTCCAAAGTTTATTAAGTAAATGTATATTTAAACTAAAATCTTGCTGACAAAGTCCATAGCATATTTTTTATTACGTTATTAAAAAGATAAATATTTGATTATATGAGACTATAATACGTATGTATACGGCTTGCAGTTTACTTGCTGAGTATTTTACATATTACTACGTTTTACCGACATAAAAGTCATCGTAAAGTCCTTCGGGTCTGAAGTACCAATATTATTAGGAGACTACCCGCTGAAATCGCCTTGTCTTTTATGGTTTCATGCAAAAGATCCATTTCAGTATCTTTTTGTCTATTTTGGAATGCGGCCATCTATTTCAACATAATATACGGAGGAACGTATAGTCTTGTATTTTAAATTAATATGCTTGGTATAGGTTTGGATAATAGTCGCGACTTATAATACCAGTGATAAATTATTGCGTTATAAAAGGCAAAAAAAAAACAAAAACTTTTACCTCGTTTAAGAAAAGCATGAACAAACATAAAAAATATAAAACGTTTTGTATACTCAATGTCACAGGATTTTAAATGTTTTCATTTAATGTAATCATTTCAATTACTCGTTTCGGTCTCGTAATAAAACTATTTAAGTAATAATAGTACTTACAATTTACGCTGAGCATAATCCTCTTGCTTACCGAAGGCGGCACATCATTGGATGCTATGCATAAGTATGCACCCATTTGCCTCCTCTCCACCTTTGTAAGGTTGAGTGAAGATCCGGTGTACATATCAACTATATTAAACATAAAAATCTTTTTGATATACGTAATTATTAAAAAAACTATTGGAAAATAAATTATGCTATACATGCTTCAAATATTATAACGTAGGGGAAAGTATGACTACCAATATTTTACATAACGTGCTGTATTGTTAAAAACATTGTAATGGCGATTTATATTATACATGTCTTTAAGGCCCTAAAAGTTTTAAAAATAATGTTTCTTAATCTACTTAAGTAACGAAATTTATAAAATCCAATTTATAGTTTTTGTCTTTCATTGATCATGTGTTTGCGTTTACCTAAGAAACTAGTAAAAGAATTTCGATCAGCGTTTCAAGAGCGAGAATTGAAATCACCAGGCAGCTAACGAGATTGTTTTTATCTCGTGTTGAATTCCCCGGGGAATTATTTTTTTGGGCACCGAATCAAACAGAGTCGCAAGTACTTAATACGAAAAACTATATATAGTTATGAAAATAGTTTATTATTAACTAATATCCACTTATTTCTTATAAATATATATATATATATATATATATATATATATATATAAGTATATATATATATATATATATATATATATATATATATACGAACCATCAATATATTAGAGATGAAACAAAGCTTTAGTTTAAGTTTATGTATGTTGTTATATAATGTAAATGTATATATGTACGGATATTTTTGGCTGCAATGTGACTATAAATATCTTTTGTTTAAACATAACAGGTTAGTTATTTTATTTTCAAGTATTACTAAACCACGTTTCTTTTTATTTCTATGATTTTTATAGTAATGAATTTTAAAGTATCGTGTATATTTAATGAAAACGCAAAACTGGATTTCAAATGAGAATATGAAAGGACAAAGACCGTATGACCATATAAAATTTAAAACAAAGGAAATATTGAAGTACAAAAATTGTTAACCAATATACAAATAACGGTTTTAACAACGATTAATGACTTCCAACAAAAATGCATTGAAACAGAAATGTCCACAAAAACAAGGGATCATTTCTATAACAATAGACAAGTCTTGCTAACAAGGAAACAAGGGGACTTGAGAGAAAAGAAATTAAGGATACGAGGTAACAAAAGAATAAAATCTCTGCAAATTCCCGTAAAGCGGTGATATTCATTTATATGAAAAATCACGTTCATTTTACGTATGACAGGGTTTCGTTGGATTGTTTGATATAGAACCATGATATTTTTAATGCTTTTTTAGCGTATAATTCCATAATTTTATACACCCTTCAATCTTGTTTACCTACTACGATTATATAGAATTAAAATATTTGAATTTTATTTTAATACAACAATAAAAATACTCGCTAGCACATATTTTTATTTATTTTTCGCGCTTGAAAGATTACAGAGAATTTACCGCAAGTGAAATCGTCGATGCGCACACGTATAACCTTATTGTAGTAACAAGCAAGTTGGAGCTAAAATCGGTCAAGCATATAAACTTTAAGACTTATAGAAAATATAAAACATTTGTATTTAATGTTTTCAATATATTTTGGCCACATTTGGTGGTCATTTTTATTTAAGGGCAAATTTATTCGACTATACAAATATCTATTTTGAGACGAAACCTCTCAGCATTTCGTGGATTCGCCGTACGGGTGCCGGGCCCCGTGTATTGCAGGGAGTGGAGCTTTAACACCTTTAACCAGGGACTTGCGACCAGGGTGTAGTTCTAAGGGGCCCCAAAATAACGCGCGTTAAACACTCACTTCTACACTTCAAGCTTCTGTCTCTATATAACCAAATTTGAAACGAACTAACTAGGGCTGCCTTCGACGCACGTTCCAAGAATGAAATTTAATTTCAATAAATTCAGTGAAAAATTCAGTCGACACTAGAGAATTCCAGCTTACTAACTCCGGGATATCGCGTACCTCGATAATAATAATTGAGCTGAACTAATTTAATTTGAGTCACTTTGTTATCAATTTAATTATTTTATCCACAATATGGAAATGGATATTCCGTATTTATAAAATTGTTTAAAAAAGAATATAAGTGTAAGCTAAATTACTTAAGTTTCCGGAAGTCTTAGTTTTGAATCTTAATTATGAAGATCAATTTAGCATTAAATTTTCTTAACATCTAAATTTACTTTATTTCTAAGTTAACTTTTAATTTTAACTGATGTAAGTACATGTTGTTGCACATTTATTATTTCTTGTTTGCTCTAACCAAAGGACATTTTCATTTTTACAACCTGGCGTTTTAAGTTATTTTTAATTATTATTTATTGGAAAGCGAAAAATAGAATGTGAATATCTTAAAATAAAGCATGTTTTTCAAAACAAGAACAACAGTTCTATATATATATATATATATATATATATATATATATATATATATATATATATATATATATATATATATATATATATATATATAGCATTGTTACCAAATATACATTCAAATTTAATTGCTTCAGTTTAAAGGAATATCATAAAAACATATACGACCTATAAATAAAGGTTGTAATAGGAAAAATATAGTATATATACATACATCAATTGCACAATAGTAATAATCAGCAAATAATTTAATTTCCAAATGGATGGTAATTAATATTTCACGATGTTTAAACAAATTTTTGGCAAATAAAATCATTTATTCAGTTCAGTATCATTGACGTAATAAAATTATCAAATAATTTATACAGCTTATAATAAATTACTGAACAACATGGAATAATAATATATCGAATAATTTTAAATAACTTCAGACCTTTATGAAGCTTTCCAGCATCATTCCTCAATTGTATATTTGTTCCGTCTTCTCTTCTCCACAGGATACGAGGCAATGGTCTGCCATCAGCTTTGCATGAAATGCTGACATCTGTACCTTCTCTAGCAACCATGTCTCCACTCGTACCTTCATCAACTATATTTGGTGGAACTACAAAAATAATATATTTATTTTTCTCCATACCAACATAATAGACAACTTATTGCAGACGATAGACGAATATTTAAACGTTTTATTTGGCCCAACATTTATAAAGAATTTATTAATAAAACCTAGTTAGTAAAATATGAGCTAAAATTTTCCATTCTAAATTATTATAAAAATTAAAAAATTTAAGAGAAATGCGTAGAGGCTCGTTTTAACCATTTCGTATATGAAATACGAGTGAATAGCAGACACAAACATGTATATTTCTAAGTAAAAGTCTGTCGACTGTTTGAATTTCTACCATTAACATTTTTATAATGGCAGTTCAAAGGAAGTCAATTGACAGTAGTTAAGAAAACTAATTCATATTTATGTATTAAAACTTCGAGATAATGATATCATTATTAATAAATATATTTATTTAAAATGCATTTTTCTTACAACTTCAATATTCTATTTAATTAAGCAATTTTATTAGTGCATAAGTTAATGTGCAGTCAATAGATTATGCGAAAATCTCTTATTTATAGAATCAAAAAGTGATGTAAAAAGCTTGAAATCCATGACCCATTAGTAATAAAACAGCTTTGTTAATTTTAACAAAAATATAATTTCGACTGAGACAAAATATTGTATTTCAGACATACAAAATCACAAATTATTAATGAGATTAATGACAGAGATAATGAAGGAGCATTCCATTCTTTTTATTTGAATTGCCTGATGTTAAAAACAATAGGCTTAGCGCTGGAAAGCAGTTATTTAAAACGTCATTGAATCGTTATATCCGGGAAAAGTAATAAATTGTGGCGGGATAATTTACTTTTTATTCGAGTTTTTGGTCGAAATGAACGCATAAATCTACAGATAAGGATCTCTGCATAAATATTTATTTTCTTCTTAAAATTAAATAATGACAGGGAGAATGAAAGGACCATTTTCGTCCCAGTTTTATTTTTTTATATTTCCGAGACATATTTTAATTTCAAATACGTACATTCTGACATTGTAATTTTTTGTTGTAATCTCAAGGTTATATGATACATTATATAATTTAAGAGTATAGCATTTAAAAATAGTTTAATTATTTTATAATAATAAATCTGAATCAAAGACATTGTTCGAATTAGAAAAATGTACAGAGGGGGGAATGAATTGTCCTGATACGTGTAGTTCTTCGCAACATGTTTTGCTTACAATACTACGGCTACTACTACGGCTATCGTGTACTTAATACAACACACCTGTATCGACATTGACATATTTAGTCTCAGTTTAGCAGTCATTCGAATAACGAGAATTGCGTATTTTTTCTAATATACTGCAAACCGAGTATTGAAATGACATAAAGCTTATGTTTAAAGAAGGGTTATTCCCTGCCCAACTAATAGATTAGATGGCGTATATAAGGAGTCTGCCCTATCCTACAGCACATTGAAATATTGGGTGAAAGAGTTTCGCCACGGGAGAGAAACCTTATAAGACATTGGCCACGACTATCGACCTGTAAAAATACAGTGAGCATCTTTATTCGATGGGTATTATCGAAGAGGAGTTTCTGAGTTATTGTCGTTTGAAGATTGGATTGGTTTCGTTTAGTTTTCTTCATTAGTTCTTAGTTAGGCCAATTTTTATGGAACCGCCTAGTATTTATTGTAAGTATCTCATGATAAATATTGGATATATTTCAATTTATCAGTTAAATGAACTTTGAACGGTTAATCCATTCAGTAAAGGCACTTGACAACGCTCAATCGAATGATATAAAATTAATTAAATAAAATAAACTGTCCATTGTCATCATTAAATGTTCTGAAATATTATTTTATTAACATTAAAAGATCATAAATATTCAAATATCATAAAGTTTATTATTTAGTTGAACTTGCTTCATTGTTCTTGCTTAATATTAAGTAACAATATATATTTATCTTCAGAATGTCGCTATAATATTTATAATGTATGATTTAAGGGTCGGATGCCGGTTTTAGTCGCCATGTTGTCAAACTCGTGACATGAAATATTAAGAGACAAACGCTAAAAGTTTAACCTAAACACGTGATATGTATGTAATGGATATATTTTTTGTTCCTTTTCAAACGAATGATACACCACCGATCTTTTCATATATGAAATAAATAACATTGTTCATAATATTTCTAGTGCGACTTGAAGATGGAAATTCATTTTAAATTATGAGTATGAATATGATAAGGCATCTAAGCATAAATTCTCTCTGACCGATACATAACCTCTCACGATAACAGCTACAACCAATGCTACTGTTAGTGAGAGGTACCTAGTTTGGAATTTAAGATATGGATATGATGTGAAAGCTTAAATAAAGCTTAAATAAAGCTAAGTAAAAACGAATTTTCATATTGCATAAAAATAAACTAATATTATTTAATAAACATAAAGATGGTTCAGACTTACCTAATACGTCAACACAACCTATTTGTTTCTTCATAGTACTTGTATTTATTTGGCACATGTAACAGCCTCGGTCCTCAACCTTAAGTGGTCTGATGTGGAGTTGCCAGGAGCCAGGAGAATCATTAGTGACAGCGTATCTTGAACTGTGGGTTACTAAACGGGTGTGCAATGTCAAGATTGTTTGGTCATCAGCTCTAATCCATGCCACCTATAGAATGAGATAGTGCAATATATCTAAGATAAGTTATGTTACCAAAATACTATTCTTATATCTTAATTTATTCAGTTTAAGGTTAACCCAAACGTGGGTATACACATATGTGCGTAGACGTATACACAAACTGACTTTATAATTTCGTTTTACATTAAAACTTTGTCCCTCTCAGTAAACATGTTGATCATGTCAACCTTACCTTGCTTAGTAAATTTTTGTAACTAATTCTCATTATTGATATTTACCTCTTAAATCCTACATCAAGTTGGTGATTATTTTTTTATTTCTAGAACTGTTTATCTACATCAATTCTATAAACATATATTTAAGCAGTTTTACTTTGTCCTTATTTTTATTTATAATATCTTAGTGACTAATTCATTCTAATATCATTTTCAGAAATATTAACACTTTGAATAAATTTGCACCAAAACTTGATATACTACCTACAATTTTATGACTACTGCTTATTTTCTCTGGTGTAAAATTTGCAAGAAATATTGTATGAAAACCTCTACGAAGATGTGTTTGGTTCATAAAATATTAATATTAACAGTTTTAGAGTACAAGGGAAACAAAAAATTAATTTCAACCGTTTAAATTATACATTTTGACTAGAAATTAGACATTCCAATCCACATTCCAATTTTTTTTATTACATAACATGGAAGAGTGAATTCTAGTTTTCAAGTTAGGTAAAAATGAACAAGCATATTAATCACAATATGTTCGTAACACTATCAAGTTTTAAGCACATGGGACTACTTTGGTTGGATTTCCTGTCTATTTCAAACGGAATAAACATAGTCTCCATCAATTCTGGTACGCTTAAATTAGAACTAGCGGACAATATACGAATTCCTTCAGGTTGGCAGACATATTAAAAAAGTTTTCTTATATGCGAAATAATACACGTCACCTGACCATTATGTTACTTTTCGGAAAGCGTGATCGTGGCATTTTTTCGAACCTGATTAAACTTCTGGGTAGAATTTGGGTATGTGAAAACACGTTGTCCTTATAGAAAAGAAAACTGTATAATATAAATAATTATCTCATCCACATGGACAATGAACGTGAGTGTAAGTATAGTTTAAGTGGTTGTATTCAGATCTGTATTGTCTGTCGTTTTTTGCCCCCTGGATGTGAAACACTAATAGGTATATGCATATACACCGACTATACTATATAGGCACTGACTAAACTATTTGAACTATATAGATACTGGCTAGTCCACTGCTTTAACAACAGCAGATAGAAGTTAAAATTGTTTAAAGGTTGAAGAGAACGCGTGAGCAAAACACAAAGTTTCGTACCATATGAAAGTATGACTTCATGTCTTGTATAAAGTGAAATTGTTTTTAAGGAACATCTTATTATTACAGCAAATTAATCGATATAAGCAGATTATTGCAAACTGAGTTTTTATAATATCGAAAGACAAAGAAACTGTCTAGAGTGCCTTTCATGATGCCAATAGTATTCGTCTAATTTTATTGATCTCTTTTAAGTGTAAGAAAGAGATTTTTAGTAAAGTGAAGGTATGACGAATGAAATTATCTTTAAAACTTATAACTTTTTCATGTAATCCTTTACATGATTCTGAAACGACCTAACAGTATATTGAATTAATGAGTTGTGGTGAAGGATACGGAATACTAAATTTTTTTGCTGTTGGATCGCAGGTATCCGATAAATTACATTTATTTTCTTTATTACAAATAAAAATGAAGTATTTAATTAAATGGAATCGCTCATCGAGAAGTTGTGATTTATGAAAACAATTGTCAGGGCTTAGTCTGTTCAACGTAACACGCACACACTGCTGACTCCTTCACAAGTCTATTTTTAAAGTCTGATATATTTTCTTTGATCCCTACACCGACGATCCTTATCGTTTTGTTCAATACATGACATTCTGCAGCCAAGTTCATATATAGTCATTTTTTGTAATGGTACGAAACTTAATTTGTTAACGTGATCTCTAGATGAAAATGTTTGTTATTTAGTCATGTGTTTTATCATCTTCCGGTAACGATTTATTAATTTTCTCAAACAGTACTTTGGATCTACGCAGAATAGACGTGATCAATTTTAATGCAAGGTAGAAAGAAATAAATAAAGTAGAAAGAAATTTGTGTAAAAATATAGGATTATAGAAAATTATTTTTAAGCAAAATTACCAACATCAAAATCAACATAAGAACTAAAATGCAAAAAATGATTTTATATTTCCTACTTACTGTTTCCTAACTTAACCTATCTAATAATAAGAAATTCTATATATCTCTTCAAAAATCAACTTAACACTTTGATGTAGATAAAGGAACTACATAATTCTATTAAGTCTTAGGAATCATTGTCTCGACGGTTTATTTGCAATTGATTTATATAGTGAGTTATGATATAAATCAAATGGAGTTTTAAAACCATGGAAGCATTAAGAGAGATAAATTAAATTTACCCAATTCTCCTTCTACTTCCTTAATTCCATTGGCTGGAGGAAAATGACTATTATGTAACTATGTTACATGTGTTTATAGGTGATGTGAATCGTTTTTCGGCAGATGGGGCGTGTCATCCTTCATACTTGTTCAGGATAAAGTAAACATGTTTGATTTACCACTCTAGGTATATTGAACTATCTATACTGCATTTCACTTCACTTCTAATAAAGTAAAAGTGTTAACTCTATTGCTTTGAGAGTTTCATTTAATTTTCAGGTAAAATGTAGTCTTTATTGATAAAATCTGTTGTCTACTTTTCCGTAAAATAATAAGATATACATATATTTATATAATTCAAGCATTTAAAATATATATTGGATGCATTAGTTAGACAATTTATATCATTGAGGTCTAAACAAATTTATTTTATGGACTGAAATTTTACTGACACTTTAATTATATAAATCACTCTTCTTGTTCCATTTTATGACAAATTAAAATTTAATCATAAATAAGGAAAAGTAAAGCTTAATAATAATAAGGTAACGCCTCGAAATGCAAATGATTTGCCGCTTGGTTGGTCACAGTCAGGCCGGATTGGAAGTAAATTGAAGCTGACGGCTAAGTTTGCACGTTTCGTAAAATATAGCTATTTGATTTTCAAAATACAATTTACACGAGCAATTTGTTATGTAATTGTTTATAAAATAATTGTTACCATATCAAAATTAGGTATTATCAATTGTTCGGAGATATTGAATTACATATAAATACGAATAAAACAGTTATCCTCACTGGTAACATACCAAGTGTTCTTAATATGAATTTTTATTCTTAAAAACTTTTATTTATCCTTATGGATATACGATTTATACATACATATGTTAGTATTCGGTTTCATTTCAAAATTTTTCGCAAAAAGCTTGCAGATTATTTAATTATATTTTTGATGTCCGTTATATTAAAACATGACATTTAGAATTTGTACCAGTTTAAAAGATAAATATCAAATCACTTACTACTAAGCTTTAATTTGTTCATTTTTTAAATACATTTTTTCCAATAATAATAGCAGACTTTTTTAATATTAAAGCTAATAGATCCCAGAGAAATATTTCACGATAATTTTAAAATTTATAAAGTAGGAATATTAATATATTCATGCCTGGTTTCAAGAGTATAAATGAGCATTTAATTATGTTAATATATTTTACTATAAAAACTTTAACCACAAGATATTTAATAATATCATCTAACATTTATTTTCTTTATATGATAAGAGATTGTTTTTATGAATTATATACATATTTATTTTATTTACTTTATGTTTCGTTATGTTTTATATTTATTTGTAGTTCTATATGATATGTTACGTAATAAATACATGTTATGTAAAAGATATATTTATAGAAAATATATATTTAGTAGCCCCTCAATATTTGAAATAAAGTTTTGAAAAGAAATTATTATTATTGAAGTTTCCCAAAGTTTTTGTCAACGTTATTGTTATTCTCTCTAAAGAATATATTGATTTTACTCTCAGTGACTTTTATTTCTATTTAGGGGCTAAAAATTTTCATTTATCCAACAAAGGATAGTTTTCTTTTCAAAGGGACTTTAGTATTTTAAAAACGTTTCTTATACTGGTTTTGCTTTATTGAGCTGCTATATTATACGAATTCTTATATAATTTTGTGTACCCACTTACTACATACGTAAAAATAAATTTGTAGTAAATAGGTATTCGCTTTATTGGATAAAAATTATATCTTATAAAAACAAATGAACAAATAACAAAATTTCAAAATAATTTTCTTTTACCTTGTAAATTTTCATATAAATCATAAAACTATTTATGAAAAGTTTTAGTTTTGTCGAATATATCTTTTTAAAAAGACATTTCAAACTATTTAAATATATTTTTCATGTATAAATGAAAATATAAACACGACATTCTTCTAAGTAACTTCTCATTTTTTCTGAGCATTAATCCTATCAAATTAATACTGATTTTTTTAATTAAAAAAAGACAAGGAATAGAGTATACATCCACAGGAATATTTTTTAAATAACTCGGTGTAATAATTGTATATATGTAAGTGTAAAAAGTTTTTTTTAATCAAAACAAATATTGAAAATCATTTCTCTGAGGCTCTCTAAAGAAAATAAATTTCTTTTAAAGGTTAAAATTATTTTACTTCTTTATGATTTTTATGAAGCTAGTAATAGCAAAAAAATATCAAAGTCTAGTGGGCTCCTTTTTAATTAAAATATCCACTAAAAATAAGAAATAATGTTTATCAAAAGCTAATATAGCACTAGAGTTTTTTATTTCTCACAGAAATATGTTTTCTAATAAAAATAATTTATTTTAAAAATGTATTTGAGAAACTGCTATCATATCATAATTAAAAAACAACTTACATCACAATTTAACTACATTTGTTCTCCAAAGTTTCGTTTTGTAATTATAAGCGAAATTTCCTAAGTTCGATTATGTCATAATACGCAAGTCATCGGGATCATCACTAAAACACTGTTTAAACGTCATTAGCGTGATCGATCGTCTTTAGAACGGCATCGTTTGTCATTGGCGACAGTAAATGGGTCCTCTATAAGGAGGTTATTTACGGACCACTTTAAGAAAAAACACGTGAAAGAGTAAGTCCCACTGATAAAATGTTTACGGAGTTTCGCATTGGAAGATCATTAATTTTGTTTTCTTCGTGGTTCGCCATTTTGCAGGACTTTGGTACGTTGCAGCTGTTTTGCAAAGAAAATAATAAATGGATTTTCTCCTCAATCGAACCTATTTGCATTTTTATACTTATAATATATATATTGGTGCTCTTCACGAATTTCTCTGATTCGTATTTTACAATCTTATTCATATTAATATAAATAAAAATATTTCTGTTAACTATTTTTGTCGTATATGCTATTTATAAGTTATGAAAAAAGGTAAGTTAAAACGTACTTCAAATATATCATTAAGAATTCGATTTTTATAAATTGTTTGTCTCGTGTCAGTCGTATAAGCGAATGACACTAAACTAATGACATATTAATATGAACACAGTAAATAAAAAAATCATAAAAGCCTTTCCGAATATTTCCTTATACACTTTTTCGTGTTGGATTTATTAAGGCTGTGTCAGCTTCAATTTTCTGAACATGCAATAATCTAAGTTGAGTAAAATTATGTAGATTGGTAAGATGGTATGACGGATTAAGGTCGTATCAGAGACAGATCCGATTAGAATAATGATTTTCAAATTCTAAGGCTGTTCTAAATAATTATTATAATGGAGGAAAATGCAAAGAATAACTGGTAGGATAAGGAAAATATCAAGATATCATACAATTATGTAAAATGACGGTGGATTCGGCAAAGATTTTATTAATATTACGTTGTGCACAAGCGATTGTGTATAAATACTTCAAATCTTGATCGCGGCAATGCTTGGTATGAATGGTATCATTTGTGAGGTACACATTTTTCTATATTTGTTATAGAGAAAGTGATCTCACTTCCGCTATGAAATTGATATAAAAATGTATGAAACACATACACCAAAAACGCTTAAATTAAAAAGTAAGGTTTTTTATTTTTTATATTAAAAAAAAATTAGTAATTACCTTTTTTACTATTTACCCTTTTGTTTTGTTTTTTAAAGATTCAAACATTGATTTATTTTAATCCTACTGTCATTTTGCCATTAATGCTGGTTTAAAACATTAAATTGAAGTGACTAATTACTTTAATAAGAATTCGAACCCAAATATAGCTGGTTTAAACGACTGAAACGTAACATTCCGTAGGTTGCACGTTCAAATATTGTCGAAATATATGTTATTTTCATTCCTTATTTTCGATTTCAATATCAATTTATTTTTAATAATTTTACATTGGAAAAAAAACAATAAGTCTATGAAATATTTTATATGTAGCCTTATTTAAACTCGTTTCTAAGAGTTCTGTAACTTGTTCCTTTTTTATAAAAATTATATTATATTCAATATTCCGGCTACCTAAAATAAAACATATATGTACTTCTGTGAAATGGACATAATAAAAAATAAATTACCGCATTATAACTGACTAAATGTACTTCGTTTTTTTTTATATACGAGGAACCTATCTCTTTATAAGTACAAAATATTTACCTTGTAGTCTCCTATGTCCGACACCGAGCAAGTAAGAACAGCTTCTCTTCCCAAAGCAACAGTCACATTGTCGATGGGACCAACAAAATTTGGTTCAACATCGCGAAGAGATACTGTTGGACCAACCCTACTCAGTGGGGATGTTGTTTGATATCGCATGTTGTTCTTGACAACTGTAACAAAAAGAACTTACTTACACACTAAAATACCACTTACTACTTTTCATTCTATTGTTAATTTATCAAAATAAGAATGTAGTAAAAAAATATTAATTGTTGTCTCAAAAAGTATTACTAGTTCCGTGTCTTCATAAATATAATTTTAAATATAAAAGCAGCCCATTTTTTTATTCAAATATATTAGAAGAAGGAAGTCATTCCTTTACAACTTTAATGGAGACTTAACTCGTGTGATATTATCAGAATAAACTAAATGGGAAGCGTCTTCTTATAAATCGTTGACCCTTTTTTATCGCCATTGGTTTTGGGTGTAGGGCGTGGATAAGGTCGATGTTTCTCAGAGCTTCTAATCTCACCTCTGATTGCGAAACGTTCTCAAGATTTTTACGAGGCCATTAAAGATCTCGACGAGGTTGTGTGTTAATATGTGGATGCGGAATAAAACCTCAGCTATTTCATTATTGGGTAGCTAAAACCTGGTTTGGACGTGTTCCGAGCCAATTACAAAGAAAGTGTTCTGTTGGAATGGATACGGTATTGACTAAAGTACGTTCTACTTAAGAACAAAACCATTTTAAAATGGTGAATTTTACGCTTGCTACGTACAACTTTTAATTCACCACGCTAATAATAAATAGATTACTTATCATAATTACAGGCTCTAGCAAACCAAAATACTTTAAAATGTCTATGCATAAATGTGTTAGTAAAAATATACGTCAATTTAAATTTAATTTTTAATATTGTATGTACATTCTTATCTCCTGTTATGTTCAGTTTGCTTATCACGCTTAGTAATTTCAATAACGTCAAGAACAGTAGAGAATTCCTTTGTGGGAAGCTTCGTAGTATCAGATAATAACAGCACAGATCAAGTGGGCAGAGCATGCAAGTTCGTTATAAAAACCCGTAGGAACTTGAAGTTTAATTCTCAGGAAATAGGAAATAATATTCTGTGACCTACTTTAATAGTGTTTAAAGAAACGTTTCTTTAACGATGTATGTACAGTTATGTTTTTAAAATGGGTTTTCTTGAAATTTTTACATTATAGCAGGAATAATAAATAAATAGAATCATAGTCAATAAATTTTCTAACATTTATATTCTCAAATATTGGTCAAACGTAAACGCTTAACGTATAGAATATTTGGAAACAGCGTTCTGGCGCAGCGCCAAATATAGGTAGCTTACTAACCTCTGCCAAACCAAAATAAAGCATGTTTCCTTTGTAATTAAACATCGTATTACAAAGAATTGCTTTATAATAATTAATTATTATCAATAAAACGGAATGCTCTATTACCTTAGATATAATTATAAAACTTTCTCAGAATCAAAATAAAGATATTTGAGAAATTTAAATTTTATTGGACACAATTTTACTGTAGATAAGGTTTTATTATATGTATTTTTAAATTTCTTGGATCACTGATTTAGACTTTAAAAAAAAAATGAAAGTATTTTTTACTATTCAATTTTAAATTATTTTAAAGACTTTTCTAGAAGGTATAAATAATACTTTAAATAATTGCGATATAAAAACTATAAATCACTATCTCCGTAACATCTTTAAAACGCTCATCAATCAGCAGGATACACTTTTAACACTTTCATTGAACGGTTTTCTTTTGTTAGTAATGAAAATAGATTAATCATCTGTGGTTAAAAAATGACACTTTCATTACAAGCAACCGAAGCGGTATTGATTTTATAACACTGTGTGTAGTTCCCGGATCTTTGTTTTTATTTGTAAAAAAAAAATAAAGCACCATTAATGTCACTTAAGATTTTCGTGAGTACCCATTCAAAGGAAACTATATTTTTTGGATAAATTACGCCCAGTTCTCATGTAATTTTAAATTTAGAAAAAAAGATGAAGTTTTTATCTGGCTGCCCGAGATCATGATATAACGCGATAAACATTTCTCTGTAAATATTTCTTCTAAATGTGCCTGTTAGTTTTGTTTTGAAATTATTAATGAACAGTTAAAAATTCTTTTAAAGTTTTTTCGAAATTATTTCTCATTTTAAAACGGAGGGTTTACAAAACTTGTATAACCAGTACTTTTTTCTTTATTTTTTATATCTTCAACGTTTCATTTTAAAAGAAAATATAAATTTTATTTTGCTACGGCAACAGCTGATAGCGCTAAAATGTTAAGCATCACTTATAATTTATCTGTAACCTTTTTAACATAATTTGTTACAGTAGCTCATATATTCGAGATCATCATGAAGTCAAGAACTAATACTAATGAACGAGCAAATTATTTTCGAAGTTGGTTAAATGGGCTATTATTCTTGATGAGCAGGCGATCTATCACATGAGCTTTCAGCGGGTTGTAATTAACGTTTGGCCACAAACGAACATTATGTACTGTCTTCGTTCTTCCTACATTTAAGATGAATTTTATAATAAAAATAGTATAATAATATTTATTGCTAGTAGGTTTTATTTTAAATAAGGTAGAGGGAGATTACCTTTATGCATTTCAAAGTGATTCTTAAAAATATCATATTCTTTAGAAAAATTAAAATATTAAAGATTAAAGTAAAAGTATAATATGTAAAACAAAAATGTTGTACGTGCGATTTATATTGATTTCAAATCTAATCACTATAGAAAGACAGGGAAGCAATAAAGAGGAAAATATATTTATTATTGTTGTATTTAAAATTTGAAATTTTGTTGTTCTCTATATATATTTGTATAGAAGGGACTAAAGGAAATGCTTCGGTATGGTAAAATTGTTTTGTATTACGTACAATATGTGATTAAGGCATTAGAGAAATTTAATGCCAATGTGAAATAATTTTCATTATTTATCTTAATTTTCTTCTGAAAACTCAGTTTATGTATGATGTTTTTATGTATCTGAAAGTAAATTTGTGTTTAAATAATACTATTGGGAAATAGTCACATTGTGCTCAAGATATATAGTACAGAAGGGTTATGTGCTTTTTTATTTTTAAAGGATCTCATTTTTCAGATTCTAGCGAACACCCCTTAAAAAACTGTCTACAACTGGAACATTATTATATAAAATAATTAAGGTGTAAGTCACAATGCAGCTCATACTATAGGTATTGCTGGATTGATTTGTAATGTTATGTTTATGTGTTATCAATCAAAAGATAACGAAATTTATTGCTATAAATTTCATAAAATCAAAGTTCTGAAGATTTATAATCAAAATATAAAAAGAGTTTCTTGATTCCCAATCAAACAGAAAATTCTAGAATTTTTAGATGGAATTTTAAAACCTTTCCGCCGTTCCATTTATTGTTCGTATGGCTCAAAACAAAAACCATTACTTGTTTACTGGAATAAATGTTAGCAATCTACGAGCTGTTATTCGAACTTCGATTGTGCAGTTATAAATGGGTTACCAAACAATCCAGTGCGTTGGAATTTTTACTCACTAGTTTGTTAAAAAAAGTTGTGTGGACCCTAGTTAGTCAGAATTAACGATCCTTCCATTTGTAATCTTTTTCAAGTTTTAATGGCCCTCGTTAAAATCGCGTATTAATTGTTTCAATTCATAAACTATAATTTCACAATGGTCAATTTTACCTTTACAATGTGGATAATTCATTTGTATAGAAATTAATTCAATTTATGCAAATTGTTCTCATTTTAAAGATAGCACGATATTTTACTATAAATGAAAAGCAAAGTAAAAAAGGCACACTTTATTATACAACAAATTACCAAGAATAGGTGTACATTTTTCTTTTAAATGAACCACAACATTATTTAGTAGGCTTTTAAGACACGCCATTGTTTTGCCCCAGTGTTGTAAGATAGTACCGGACGTAAGGTCACTATACCGGGCTGTTAGCCAGAATGGCCTGTTGTTAGTCTGCTACAATGAGAGCCATATTTCAACCTGCGGGCACACAGTGTAGTATAAACAATTCAGTGATAATAGTCACATCAGCATAATCGTAATGATGTTCAATAAATTCAGGTATCTTTTGCGTCAGATGTGGATTGTAGTTACGTGACCAATATATTACTCATAGATTGGATTGTACGATATACGATTATGAACTATTTTATATAGATTTTGGTTTCTGTTTTGGATAATAAATAAATTTAAGGATCTCTGCGAATAAAAACAATTAGTCGAAAAAGAATGAAGTATGTTATTATAGCAAAAGGTTATGATTTTGCTTGAAAAAATTTGCGAATAGAAAGTTCTGATCATTATATTTCCTAGAAGTACCAAAGCATTGAAAAATATGAGAGCATATTATTTTCTATTCATATTCCCATTTTAGTGCAATAACTCAAAAGTATATCTTCAGCTTTTTGTCATTTTTATATTTCTAAATGTTCTTGAGTTCGAAAAATATCGTAATATCATTTTTCATGCCCCATAACTTTCCTGATTGATTACAATATTTCGTCAGTAGTTAATGGACGATTGAATGGTTGCATTTTACTTTATTTATAATTTTATTACTTTAGGATTGTTTTTCACATAATTTTCTATTATTTGAAAATACGTGATATAAATATCTTCTCACCTTTAACATGTTGACGCATAAATTAAAAAATATAGGTACCAATAATTCAAGAACTTTAGGATATGGATGTTATAATTTTAACTAACAATGCTTTGTCTCTAGGGTGATTCTGTTAATGACATAATCAAATTGTCCCACACATCTGGCCTCGGAGGGAACCAGACAATGCACACGCACGGATACCCCGGATAATGACCCGATACAGCGTGAAGATTTATAGCACCTTAAACGTATAGTTGCAGATTTTGATTTATACGTTTTAGTCCCCGAGTTTTATGCTTTATACTTCCACCTCAACGATTTTGTTCTATGATTCAAAATATTTATACGTATTATGCTAGGACGTGATAGTTATTTACATATTTTTTATCTTTGTTTGAATATTGTTTATCTCTTAAACTTTTTTAAAATTTTCATATTATTGCATTCATAGACTTGTTTAATAAAGTAATATTGTTTTCATAAAAGCTAGTATCTTCGTTATAAATCTGAAAGTTTTACTTGTTCATAATAAGAATTTAATTAATAATAATCTTTTGTATTTCACAATATACTGTAATAAATAATGAGAAATATAATAAAAAATAAATCCTTGTAATTTTCTTATGTATTCATTATTTATACAATATTTCTCATCAGATACAATGTGCACCATTTTCGTTTGGATAAAGTTTTATTGCATCGAAATCTTAACACAACTTTCTTATAAATACATAGGTTCTAACTGTGGCATATGAAAGAAACAAATAAGAAGAGGGAACGAAACTGAGAAAAATAACAAAACTGTAAACGAACGGTACCTAGGGAAACGGATAGTCATTTATAATTTAAGGAACGAAGCAAGGGTGCGCCTCTTAAAAAGCAATTTCCCTGCTGCCAACTTAATCCCCAGAGGGGACATGGGTTCACAAAAAATTAAATAGCCCTTCTGGACAACAATGCAATTTACAAACACAATAGTCGATGACAATGGGATGACAAGCGCATATTGATGAATGATAGTTAATATTTCAATACAAACATAATATACAAATTTAGTATGATTTTGATTATTCAAACCTTTTGTGTATTGTTAAGCTAATGAAATATATGTAGTTAATAATATGTAAACATACGGCATCTAGTCCCAAATGGTTATTTAAATGGCTGCCAAAATCCAATTTTTAAATATTTCAGAGTATCACTATTTTGTAGGTTATTTAACTATGTATGTTAAAAGTTACGGAATTCAAAATACAAGTAATCGATGCTACGAGCCTGTAACGATAGATTAACCATGATTTAAACACCGCAAGAGTAATAACATAATAAAAAAGACTTTTAATATTTATTGTCTGGATCTCACAAACAGTGATAAAATTAGCGCACCGCCTACTGAATTATTTTATATCTGTAAAGACGTAGGGTGTGTAATTTAAATTTCCAAAAATAGACTTATCCTCTATGATAGTCCTTATTTTTTAGGTATTTAGGTGAAATAAAACAAAATATTTGTGCATTATATTTCCAAAATATAAGTTTTAGCTCTTAAACTTCAAGTACATATTTGAAACTTTCGTTGTGATCGATTCTAAAAGGTTTAGGTATATAGCATTCGTATTGTGACCCTTACTATGGCACCTCAGGGGAAATATAAGGGTGTATTGGAGTTGTGAAATGTGCAAACAATTAGAATGAGCTCTTTTTGCGGGGCTCCCACAATGGCCCTTTATGGCGGCGACAGCTTGGTCCCATTTAAGATATGGATTTTAAATGGAACTCATTACTCATGCACTAGACATCTGTTCTTTCATATTGGTTTTATTTGAAGTAGGTGTGTACATGTTTTGATTAGTTAGTGTTCAGAGCGGTAACCATTGGATAATGGGCATATGTTTTTGTTTGAAAGGTAAAGAATAGGAATGTTATAGTTTCTCGCTATATTTCGTTATTTATTTTATGTATAGAAGTAGTAAATACAATTTTTTTGGAAAGTTTTGTAATATAATAAAATGTATATAAAATAAAATTACTGGATGTGTCAAAAAAAGCAAAATCATTTATAAATGAAATAATCTTGAATACAATCTATTATGTATATAACCATGAATTTATAAAATATTTTCTGTCAATATTTATTAATACATGACTTTTAGACCATGTTGTTTATATTGACGATGAATAGACGGTTTTTGTTTTGTTTTCTCTCAATACATAACCAACAGCAATTGGAAAACAGGATGGATATCAACTGTACGTGAACTTATTCGATCTCATGCATTTAAATTCAGAATTAGTGAAATGCTGTGCCCGCAGACTTTTTCCGAAGGTAAGTAAAGGTTTCTTTAAATTAATTTAGATAGGAATCCTCTTGAAAACGTGATTGATATAATAGCCTTTATTGAAAATCGTGTACGTCAACATCTTTGTTGTAGAAGTTTAAAAGATAATTTTCTCATTAATCTTTTAGAATTTGGAGATGTAAAAATTAAATCAGAAGTTTATAAGTTAAATTACTTTTTGAATACTTTTGTGTTTAGCTTTATCGTTAAATCCATTACGCAAGTCCATTAAAAACTCTCGTCTATTGTTCGTATTGTTAGTTTAAACTTGGATAATATAAACTGCGATCGGGTAATAATTTAGGAAGTTTTATGGCTCATGTCGTAGCCTCTATTATGTGCAAAGCTAAATTGGAATTTGTTCATCCGTAACATTGTGATTGAGTTGGAAATTCAAACTAAATTATAATTTAATTTTGATCTTAGCTTATTTAGCCTCCTTCTTAAAAATATTTAAAGAGCTCTAAGGGTTATTATAATGTACATGAATAAAAATCTAAAGAAAAATGTCCAATTTTTTCCTGTTCAATTCTTTTGTCAGGGGACGTTTCAATTCTGTACCATACATATTTTCTTCAGTGTAATTGCAATTTTTCCGCTTGACAGGGGTCGCTACTAGCAAATCGGCATACCTTTTTGCGGTAGGAACGCAAATAATCTATCCATATTCGGAGACCAGTCTCCGTTGGAAAAATCTGTGACATTAAGGGGAGGGGAGCTCGGTTCGTTACGTTTTGTAGCTCCCTAGAGATACCAAGGAGTTCAGACTACATGAATGTTTTACTTTTACGTCACAGTTCTGATTTGTAGCCAACAGGCGACGCACTTTATGTTGTTCAATATTCTGCTTCATGTAACATTTTTATATATTTAGTTTTTTTTATAAACATTTACGTGATTCATATCACAAGTTCAACGAGTAAATATGAATATAACATCATCTAATTTTGGTAACTCTCTAACCAGAACGGTAAATTTTAAGATGTATATAAAATATTGTGGTCGTAATCCTGGCCCAAGGAAGCTTTTTGAACTCTTAAATCAAACTTCTTTAAGTACGGAAGAGAGGAAAACATATTTTACTAATCCCACATTTTTCGCTGTTACAATCTTCAAAACGCGTTGTGGCCGTATACACAGATATATTCTTGATATAAATGTAAAGGATTTTTCGAATACAAATACGATGGATTTACGGACGAAATTCCTTCTGTTCCAAATAATTTCATGGTTTCGGAAGTTGAAACAAAATGTTTTATATTTCATTCTAATATATGTTTTTATACACCCAGGTAAATTACTTTCATAAATTCTCTAAATGGGCGTTTTTTACCTTTTACTGATTTCTAAATTTCAAATAAATACATATTTAAAGAATAACCAGGATCATATCTTCTCACATGAAATAATAACTGATACACGTAAAAATTTGATATGCATCACTTTAATTATATTGATTACATGTCATACCTAATAAACAACTTAAAAAGACTTTATTTTTCAGAGAATACTGAGTACTCTTAGGTATAATTGCTAATTATTAATACTACGTCAGTCAATGTGGCCCAGTGGTTAAAGGGCCCGCCTCTCGTTGCCGAGGGCGCGGGTTCGATCCTGGCCCGGGCAAGTACCAATGTGATTTTTCCGAGTCATATGTACTTTCTAAGACTATTTAGACATCACTGATGAATGTTGTTTCCCAAAAGAGGGTTGATGTCAGGCAGGCGGCCGGTCGTAAAAACAAATAGCCAAAACTAACCACAACATGTAAGGCAGACCCTGGCTATAGCTGAGAAATTGCCAGGTAGAAGATATTAATACTACGTGTAAAGTTTCCAGGTACAGGCAACTTAATATGAAAAATTTAATAAGTTTATGTTTAATGTTAGTAGTAAACACTGAATAATATTTCAATTTATATATATATATTTATGGGAAAAGGGGGCAACCGAGCAGACGGCCTACTTGATGGTAGGTAGTTACCGTCGCCCATTGACATCTGCAAAGTAGGTATGCAGATGTGTTGCCGCCCTTGTTTGGGGAAAATGGGGACTAAAAGGTGGGAAAGGGAGGGAAAGGAAAGGGTGGGAAAAGGGAAAGGCCAACCAGCTCTCTCACTCACCGGACGAAACGCAGCCATTAAAGACTACTTCACGCCGATTTTCTGTGAGAGGGTGGTACTTCCCCGGTCGAGCCAGCCCATGTTCGAGCTGTAGTAACTTGACCACAGCTAGGCTCCTACCACCTTTTGAATTTATATATATATATATATATATATATATATATATATATATATATATATATATATATATATATATATATATATATGTATATATGCACAGATTAATTAGCTATAGCGCTTTCAGTACCAGTCGTTCGTTTTAAAAGTTTATTACAATGTCTAACGTAATTAATAATTAAAACATCTCAATATTTATAACTAATAAAAATAAGTAAACTTTAGTCGTATACAGATTTTTTGAAGTGTTTTATATGAATATTCAATCTTTTAATATCAAAACCTGCTTTTATTTTATTTATTTCATAATTGAATGTATAATCAATTTACAATAAATATCATGGCCATGATGATGATGATCATGGCCATCTTATTGTACATCCTAAAGAAAACTATATAAAATAAACAGTCTTAATATAGGCTTTTAGGAGATAATTGTAAAATCATTCCTTTGTAGTAATAAAATCTTACCTTTAGTGCTCTCAACCATGCTGTCCATTCTCCAGAGAAGTATCACTCCGTAAATCGTTAGAAGCATTTTGTAATTACGACACATTTCGATTTCACGGATCAACCTCATATCTTTGCAATCTGGCAATGATGCCTGCTATACGTAAAAGTGACAACATTAGAATGCCCCAGATTATTTATCTTTATGTACTTGGTAACGATTATTTTCATATTTGAAAACTATATCTAATTAAGTTGAATCATAATAACTTATAATATAAATATATATTTTGATGATATTCTTTAAGTTTCGTTCCTTTCTAATTGCTTTTATATTGAAACCACAAAGGACACGACTTCATTAGGGCCTGTATTATAAAACAGAAAAGATAAAGTTCATTTCAATCGGTTCATTAAAGTTTTAATTACATCGGTAATGAGGCTTTAGTTCTGGAGCACCTGCAACAAAATAAATATTATAAGTTATTTTTCTGTACATAGTCGCTTATATGTAATTGGATTCACATAACACATATTACACAATAATAACACAAGCCAATTTTATACGATGTCATTAATATTATGATTTTCTATATTTATTGATAAAATTTTTGACCATTAATTTTTATAACAGGTCCTTAAATATGACGACATTAAAAGATGAATCACAAAATCATTTTGTATTATATTGTTGTAAAAAGAAACAAAGCGTAATGTAAACATTGTATAAAGCTTTCAAAGTCAACACATAAAAATTAATTCACAGCTCACCGCCCAAGTAACATAAAAGAGTATAAAGATTTGACTTTTTGTAGATGTAAAAGTATACAGTCAGTCAACTTAATTACAGTAGTGCTTATGATCTTTAATTTGGCATTAAAGCTTTATTTTTATCACCCCTTTGGAATTCTTTTTTTTTCTATCCTAATATTCAATAAACTACGCTTTATCAATTTGTTTTTCTTTCTCTTGAAAATTTTTCCTTTTGCCTGATTGAAACGTATCATTGCTACATGAAACGTATAAAACATAGTAAACCGATTTAATAATGAAACTATGAGCACATAATAAGAAAACCAAAATTTTCCATCAGTATTTAGAATGTGAACAACAATTCAAAAGACAGGTTTTCTTTTCAGAAATTCATTGTTTATATACAAATCAGAAACATTACATACAATTAAAATTAATTTATTTAAATGTAGGTATATTATCTAACATAAATATTCAAACACAAATGCAAAGGTTCACCCACGTGGTAGGATCTGGCGAATTAAGGTCATGCAAAACGATGTAAAAAGTATAAAATAATTTTATAAAGCAATTTTATATTTAACTCTGTATTCATATTTGAACATCGAAGCCTAGTGTTTCAGACATTGTTTAGCTGCCATTTTACGTAATGTTAACTAGAGTAATTAACTGAGTGCTTTTAAGTAAACGGTATAAAGCGCTTAATAAATGTTGCAGAACTTCTTTCTAGTTTTTTTAAACGTAACATTAACTCTAATAACAGAAGACTTAGCACTAGTTCCGTTGCCTTTGTGATTTTATCAAAGTAGGTAGCTCTTTATTTTTACTCAATTCTGTATCTCGAAACCTCACATTTAATGGAACTCATTCTATTAATTCAAAAGATTTTTCTGTGATGTTTTAGAAAAAGCGAAAAGCATATATTGTTTTAAGTTGAAGTGGTTATATTTTATCTGAATACGTATTTTTTCATTTAAGTTAGATAAGTTAAGTTGTGAAATAAATATAAGCACAAACATATTTTTTACGACTGGCGTTCTTATTTACATAGAGAAACAGAATATTTAAATGAAACTAATATTTTTCGGATTTTACTTCGCGTTTTATTTTAGAAAACTACATACTCCCGACGTTTCGGCTACTTTTCAGCAACCGTGATCACGGGCAGACGAGATGTGAGTGTCTGTCAGTTGGTCTGGTCATTTTATCTCCTACCATACATCGGACAGACAAAGAGAACCATCGGTACAAGGGTTAAGGAACATATTTCAGACGTCAGGAATAGGCGCGCGTAGAAGTCAGCAGTGTGCGAACATGCATTGGACAAACCAGGCCATTACATTAGATTTGATCAACCACATATCCTCGCTCGTGAAGACAGATATATAACAAGGTTAATCCGCGAGGCTTTTGAAATTAAAAAAACACCCCAATTTCAATAGAGAAGATGGCTGGAACCTATCGAACACCTGGGATCCTCTTCTTAAAAATATAAAATCCCATGTCCGTGACCACACCGCAGGACCTCGAGACACCTTGAGCGCATTTTGCCGGCATCCAGAGCGGTACGCAAGACAATTAAGAAATCGATGGCGGTAGGAGATAAAATGACCAGACCAACTGACAGACACTCACATCTCGTCTGCCCGTGATCACGGTTGCTGAAAAGTAGCCGAAACGTCGGGAGTATTTAGTTTTCTAAAATAAAACGCGAAGTAAAATCCGAAAAATATTAGTTTCATTTAAATAAGTACTCGCGAAAATCTTAGATCTCATTAACAGAATATTTAATTTTGTATAAAACACAAATTTTAGATTTTTATATTTACTTAAATAACTAATTATTTTACTCGATCAAGTCTGAGGACAAAATTTTATGTAAAGATTTACACTATTAGACATCGGAGTTTTTCGTATAGCAATCATATTTTTTGATATAACTTTACATTAATTCACTTGATGTTTTTGATACTTTACAGCAATCATTCATCTTGTAACCAGACAAATCACAATTAATCGGAAAAAATTTAATCTTGCAAATAGTTTTATTAAAGTGTTTGAACTGATTTTTATTACTTTATTTCGTACAAAAATACTTCTCAACTTATTCATTTTTCCTAAGATTCTTAGATAATTCTTTATTTTTAGTTCAAATATTTAATTACTTTATCAAACGACCTCTTTTAATCAGCATTAAACTCAAGTTAGTTTATAACTCGTATTCTTTTCTCAAACCATCATTCAAATTAACAAACATGATATCATTAACTTTAGGTTATATAAATTACATTTCACATGTTGAGGACAAACAATTTATATAAAAAAAGCTAAAGCAGGCGTAAAAACGTTAGAATTTAAATAAAGGCTAGTCAAATTACAAGAAAACACTTTTTGGTTTGTAGTAGCAAATTGTATCATTCACAGAACAAAAAGTGTTGACATAAATAACAATAGGCGAGCAGGCTGTAAATGGGTTTAATTTTTTTATCAGTGCAATGCTAAAAAATAAATATATTTTTTTTATTTTATTATTAAAAACGTATTTTTATTTACAAGACAGTTTTACCTAGAATTTCATGAACATAATCTACAAGGCTAACAACTCTTAATAAGAGTCTTAAGAACAAGCTTACGGGTAAGATAGATTCAAGAAAATTTAATGAAATTTACCGTTTTAAGATTTTATTTTTAATTCAAATTTACTGTGTTATATACAGACTGATCTTTAATTACAAAAGGATATAAATACGTTATTTGAAGTATAAATTTAATTGCGCCTATCCTGTATTAATAGATTATATTTTCTTTATGTCTGTAAAAGTGCAGTTTTCATTCCATTAGAGCTGTAGTAATATCGTTACCTATGGAAACGATCGATTGAAAAGCAAGGGCGGCAGAGACGGCTAGACGGTTTGTTTGGGATTATTAAGTTTTATATTTTTTTAATATCAATAATTGGCTTTCAGAAATGCGCTTTGAATAGAATTTTTAGAACGCACCGGGGTTTAATTTTTTTTTCCTGCAATCTTTTGCTTTCTACTTGTTTATTATAATTTGTTGTGGTACTTAATTAAATAAACCAATCTATAACGACCAATAAAGAAAAGTTTTTAAAAATTGTCTCTTAAATTAGTAAATAGTATACATTTTCAAATTCGGTAGTTTATATATTTCATCAACTATTGTTTCCTAATTAAAATTATATTATGCATATAAATGTATATTTATTAAATCACATTCAGAGTTTATATTTGTATTTTAAGGTTATTATAAAATATACATATATTATAGTCAATTTAAAACAGCAATATTTTTTTTTATATAAAGTTTTGTTAAATAAAATTGCATAAGTCATTTACTGTTGGGTTTTTTAATGAAATGTCAATTGTGATGGTTTTCAATTTCGGTTAAACAATGTTTCATTCATATTTAAAAAATAGTATCAAAGTGAAAAACTGGTAGAACTAAATTAAAATGTAGAAATACTACTGGAAATAATACAGGCACGGTCTATCGCGATTAGATTCATCTGTATTATATAAAAAGTATAAATTTCCAGAACATAAATGTTTTGTAAACGAAATATCTTCAGTTACTTGCACAATAATGTCTAACAGGTTTTATTTAGTGCCGTAATCTTGCCCGTAAAATATATTACGGCTGTACCTGCCGTAATCTATAGCTTCTTTATGTAAAAACAGAATGTTTAACTCGAATACAAATATGTAGACATTCAACACTATGTGGATTCTTTTTTGTTAGGAATGTTAAGACAACATTTACAAAACGAAAGGATTATGTTATTGAGTGAATGAGTATGAGTTTGGTAGGAAATTTTCATCGTAATTACCCATATCTTGAAATATTTGATACGTAAATATTGATCTACTTTGTTTGTTTTCGTTTGAAATACATTTTCTTTTCGTTAACCCAAGTCTGTAAAAATGAAACAAGAACTTAAGTCAGATATATTTTCATAAAGTATTCAATTTTTTCTTTTAATGTTATATTACAATTTAAAACTAACATTCCTGCAGAACCAGTCTAAAATAAAAATATACAAAAGTAAACAGTTCCCTAGGGATCTATTCCTGTTTTATTATAAGCTATAATTAACTCTTTGATGGTCGAAGACATCTGTTTGCCGTGTACTAAAATTCATTTGATATTTAAAACGAGGACAATTTTCTAATTAGTTGACATATTTAGGATATGATTCGACTAAAATAAATTTGATATAGCGATGATTTATGTGTTTATGTTTTATTCTTGAACAACGATTAGTAAGTTACTAATTTCTTTTCAAAGAATGAGCTAATATTAAATATTTACAAT